ATGTCTATTGTTTACCTGAAGGAGATTCGTTTTTGGATAAAATATTTACACATTTTAATGTGCTCAGGTAAAGTAGAGATAGCCTCTTTGGTCTTGAAATCATCAAACCTGTTGAGTAATTCTCGTGGGAGGATTTTTTTGTTTCCTCCGAATAGGTTCCACCACCTGGGAATTATAGCCTTAGTAACTTCTAGGCTATATTTGACGAACCAAGTATGTCTTGCCCTATGATATAAAAAATTGAACCAAGCAGCTTTATAGTCGTGCCAGTTGTAAGTTTGGGGACGATGCATCATGGACAGTGCTATCGGTGTGTGCAAGTGATCTGCAAACCACTCAAATGGTGATAATTTTTTTTTTATAGTGACTCTAGAGTAATTAATATACCCTGGACTCTTGTCATTTTAAGTATGTTCTACTTCTATGGAATCGGTGTCGATGATGATGGCTTCATAGAACCTCATTGTCTTGTATGGACTGTCAGTATCCACATAATTAAAATCCGTAAAGCACGGTTTGATAAGGTCTTCTAACTTGAGACTTCCATATTCTTTGTCTAGAGCTAATATGGGTAATACCTGAACGGTAATATAATCAAATTTTTCTTCTTTGGGAGAATCTTCTGGTGTCTTCTTTGCTGAAGGATTAACTGCTTCTGCGAAAGTTTTCGGAACTTTCATGGCGTAGCTTTTCTTGGTCTGAACTGATGAGCTAGAGGTTGATCCTTTTTCAAAAGGTTTAATAGGCTGAGGATTGGTCAGTTTCTCTGAGGGAACTAGTATGGGTGCTGGTAATTTGGGATATTCAGCTAGAGCTTTATATCGGTTCTGAAAAGAAAGTTGGGGTCTGAGGGGCTGTTGTTTTACTGGGAGTAATAGGAAGAGGAATAAATGGTCTAGCCATTTGAGGTTTACTGGTTTCTTTTCCTTTAGAAGGAGTGTTATGTCTGAAGGGCCTCATTTTTTCCCTGTAAAAATTCTCTTGTTAGAAAATCAGGTAAAGAGTTATTTTCTCCTTTGATAAAATCAATTTTGAAATCAAAGCTTGATAGTAGAGCCTGCCATCTAGCAAATATCTGTTTTGAAACAAGATTTTTGACATCTTTTTGAAGAATTTCTTTAGCAAGCTTACAATCTACTCTTACTAAAAATTCTTTGTTAATAAGATCATCTTGAAATTTAGTAATACATAGTACTATAGACAAGACTTCTTTCTTAACGAATTCCAGATTCCTGAAGTAAAACGAACCAGTTGTTCAGAGGACTCGGTGGAAATCTGTTGTTTAAGAATACCACCGTAACCTATGTCTGAAGCGTCTGTTTCAACAATCATAAAGACTTCTGGGTTAGGGATTTCTAAGCAAGGAAGGTTTTGTACTAAACCTTTGACTTGGATGACATCCTGTGTTTGTTCTGAGCTCCAAGGGACTGGATTTTTCCTAAGTCGTTTGTAAAGAGGTTCACAGACCTGTCTAATGTTTGGGATAAAATCAACAACATAGTTGAGATTTCCTAAGAATCTCTGAAGCTGAGTCTTATCAGTAATTTCATTAGGAAATTTGGATGAGAACTCAATGGCTCTACAAATGGGTTTGTAAGATCCTTGGTATAGGTCGTGACTTAAGAATCTAATGGATGCTTGGAAGAGTTTAATCTTCTGGGCACTAATTACCAATCCATTTCTCTTAACAACTTTGAGAAAAGTGTTGAGATGCTTAAAATGAAATCTGGTTTCTGGCAAATTCAAATAACCGAGAAAGACAGATACAAAACGGCTTTTAATGTTCCTTTCGGTCAATACGAATGGAATGTAATGCCGTTTGGGCTCAAGAATGCCCCATCTGAGTTCCAGAACATCATGAACTCCATTTTTAACGATTATAGTTATATGTCTATTGTTTACATAGATGATGTTTGTTTTAAGTATCTCGGGTCTATTATCCAATGTTACATGGAGATTGACGAAGATGTCGCATATCGCATCGGAGCGAGATGGATGAAGTGGATGCTCGCTTCCGGTGTTTTATGTGATAAGAATGTGCCGCCAGGACTTAAGGGTAAGTTTTGTAGAGTGGTGGTTCGACCGGCTATGTTGTATGGGGCTGAGTGTTGGCCAGTGCAGACGATGAAAGTAGCAGAGATGAGTATGTTGAGATGGATGTGGGGGTATACCAGGAGAGATAAGATTAATAATGAAGCTATCCAGGACAGAGTGGGAGTAGCCTCCGTGGAGGACAAGATGCGGGAGTCGAGGCTAAGATGGTTCGGACATGTTAAGAGAAGAAGCATTGATCCTCCTGTTGGGAGGTGTGAGAGGTTGGCCATGGAGAGTTTGAGAAGAGATCAAGGTAGGCCTAAGAAGTACTGTGGAGAGGTGATTAGACAGGATATGGCGCTGCTTCAGCTCACTGAGGACATGACCCTTGATAGGAGGGTGCGGGGGTCGAGGATTAAGGTAAAAGGTTAGTGGGTATTTTTTAGTCGTTCACCGATAGTCTTAGTAGCACGCATGTCCCTTCATATTCTTAGATTTTTATTACGTTATGTGGTTTTGTTCGCCTCATGTATTGTATTCCATGTTGCTATTATTTGGTACTATTTATCCTTTTTCTCTTCCTTCTTTCTTCTTTCCTTGCTTTCCTCTTCTTCTTCTTACCCTTCTTGAGCTGAGAGTCTATTGGAAACAACCTCTCTACCTGCATTAGGTAGGGGTAAGGTCTGTGTACAGACTACCCTCCCCGGACCCCACCTGTTGGGAACATACTGGGTTTGTTGTTGTTGTTGTTGGTCTAGTATATCATCTTGTTAAAATTTTGTTTCCATTTCACAGAAGATGCCCAAAAGGGAGATGCCACAAACAAAGCAGGTGGAGGTGAAGATGCAGAGGTAGGTTCTTTAAATCTGGTCCTTCGTTTGAGTTAATTTTAGCTTTTTCTAGACTGGTAGTAATTCAATTACTTGGTCATTCCAAACCATAATATTTGTTGTGTTCGTGCAGTGAATGGGCCTAATGGTTAGAACTGCCTTGTGTATTTGGAGCTGTGAGGACGGCGATATACCAAGGGGATGTGTGTTTGTTAAGTCCTAGTAGATACTTATCTTATGGGCATGTCGTGTCAGTTTCTTTAATCTTTACATGTTAATTGGGTGTTGCAATTCAGCATGTGTGTGATTTGTATCCCTGTGCTATTTCCTCTCCGTAAAGTGAGTTGTTTCAGTCTTTAGATGATTGGTTTGGTCCATAGGTGGTTTTATTTTTCAGACTGCCACAGCCAAATTGGAGGACATCAGCTCTTTGTTTGACCTCTCAACCTTGTTATCTCAATGTCACCAATTTTATATAATTCTCACCTTTTTTTCATCATTTAGTTTGAAGCTAAGCATATTTGTTACTTTAGCGGTGCATAGATTATTGGCATCTTTGACTGTTGTAGAATTTATTCGCTGGGAGCATGAGTATTATCTTTAGATAGATCTTATGCATTTCAAATCCAAGATAAGGGATTTGAAGAATTAGAATATATAGAATTAGTTGCCTCTAAAAGGCTTGCTCGATATTCTTGCTTACGGAGCAGGGGCATTGGCCAAAATGTTTAGGCAAAATTGGTGGGTTAGATTGATTCATAATGAATGACTTGTCTAAACCGCTCTTGATGACTAATGATTTTTCCAAGGCGTTGTGCTTGTTAAGTTCTTTCCTGGAAAGATCATTGCACATTTCCTTGTTCTCTACATCTTTATGGAGGTTGATTGGTTACGCCGACTCTGTAACCTCCTTTTATCTGGCCAAAAGTAATAGATTCTAGATGGATTAGCGTTTGAGGAACTACTATTTATGTCTGAACTCGGCTTGTTTTCAATGAGGAACAGTTACGTATACATGTGGAGTCCTGTCATTTGTCTCTGTGAATTGCCATCTGAGTTGTTTATATTTGACCAAGTATCGTGGTACAATTATTGCTGCTGAAAACAAGAATGTTTGTGTGACGTTAAACACGTTACTTGTCTTAACAAGTTGCTGATTTAACACCAGGAAACAAAGACTTTATTTTGACATTGCAACTTTTTTTCAAATAAAGCTTAACTGGCGAATCTTGTTCTAACTCACCAGTATATAGCATGACTTTAGTCCGTCTTCCAAGTCTATGCACAGACTTTAGCTTGTATTCTGCAGTTACAATAGTGAACTATCCGAATCCATATTATCCTTTGTTGCTCTATTTTCTAGTTTATATTTCTTACTTTCTGTCGCTTCTAGGGACATCTTAAAACTATAACTCCCTTTTGGGTTAGGCATCTTGTAGTTCCAATAAACAACTACGAATTATCCGTTCAAGAAGCAGGCACATGTGAGCTAAGATTCTATCTATTTTTGAATATTTCAATGAAGAAAGCAAGAAAAGTGGATCTAAAGAATCTGCAGAGGTTCAATGGCTAAAGCACTCTTCCTAGAAGGTGGCTAAGGGGTTGGATGCTCTTAGTTTGTAAATACTTGTGTTTGTTTGTTTATGGCTTTATGGTAAATTCTTTACAGGTTTTACCAAAAAAAGTTACTATCGATCTAGGAGTATTATAACGTGATAACAAGCGTAAGCATCTTGTATGCATCCGGATCTCGCTGTTTTATAACAGGGCAATTTGGCTAATGGCTGATTTTATTTATCCTAAGTCCCTGCAACTCAAAATTGTCCCTCCGCACTTGATAAGCAACAATTTGTTCTCCTATCTTGTTGGAGAAATTTCACATTAGTCGTATATTTCGTTTGTTACTTCTTTAAAACATTGTTCTTTTCATCCTCATTATATGTTTTATACATCTTTCATAACTTGAGAAAAGAAAATTCAAAATTCATATATCCTTAAAGTGTAACCAAATTAACTTCTTAAACTAAACTTGGTATTTTAATCCACCACCATTAATATGGAGTAATGTATAAAGCCGAATGAATATCTCAAACACAGTGTCCAGTCAATAATATCATATACTTTAAATGAGGGGTGGTTGTATTTTCTTAAGAAACATGACGGTTGTGTTCTAGTAGGTGATGTGTAATTTTCGTGAGAGGAGACACTAAGTAAATATTTTCTACTAGTATTTATTTAAGCTTTAGTGACAAAATTACAAGGTTTAAGTTGATTGGAACACCACTCAAAAAAGGAGGAAGGCGACAAGGAGGACTTGGAATTTTAGGATATACCGCGGAATAAATCTATTTGGTTTACTGGACATTCCATTATTGGAAATTGGAATACCGAATAATTACTTTCTCCCTCGAATGGAAGGCGGGAAGGCTCTCCTCTTTGCACACACTTTATTTTAACACACAAATGCTAAGTAGCATCTTACCCAAACGCAAATGGGTATCGATCCTTTCGTTAAATGTTTCTTTAAATACCTCATCTCCTCAGTTTTCTCTGCTCATTAATTCAACACACTCACAATAAGCCTAACATTTTTCTAACACAAGAATGGGCGATCTTCATTCTGCAAACAACAATGTACAGGCCCATATTTTAGCCGTCATTTTTGATCTGGATGGCACCCTTATAAGCACAGGTCCTCTTTTCCCACTCCCTTTACTTTTTTTCTTTTTGGTTTGCAGCATTAGTATTATTGTTTGTTGGGATCTAATCTAATCCTGCTTTTGACTCGGACTAGTATATACATAAATAAGTAATAAACTGCACTCACTCTGTACCCATTGATACTAAATCCTAGATGTCTCTGTGTGTGTTTTAGAGCACTTGACAAAGGAAATTTTGAAGGAATTTTTGGCTGGATATGGGAAGGTGCCAGATAAGGAGAAGGAGAAGAAAAGATTGGGCATGACCCAGAAAGAGTACGCTATTGGTATTGTTAATGATTATGACCTCCCGCTCACGTCCGATCAGTATATCGAAGCAATCATGCCCTTTTATCATGACAAGTAAGTTCTTTCTTTTCACTATTTTAGCTGATTCTTTTTATTTTGGATATACACACACACATACATACTGTTACGCGGCGCCTTCCTGATGTTCTTTGGAAGGGCGACGTAAGGCTAAGCAACCGATGTCAGTGCGGTTGCTATGCGCCAACTGAGGTACTCGCCGTACGCTAGACTAGATTGTCAGTGCCGTACGGGAAAACCAATGTCGTGTTCAATTGAGCAGCAGAAAATGAGCAACTGATGATGAAAGCTGATGATTGTATTGATGATGATGATGAAAGCTATTAC